AAAATTTTAAATATATGTTGATTAAAACTCTTGAATTTTCTGATATTTCTATTATGGATAACTGTAAATATGATACATTTGACAAGCATTGCAATTGCTTTTATAAACAATGCAATTCTTTTTTAAACAGAAAAAAAGTCACCTTCCCATCGTCGATCAAACACCGGACCCATAGGTATATCGATAGAATTTATGATCTTCCAATGATTTCTCTCCCAATTACGCAAACAGCCATTTTCATTGTCTAGTTTGCAATCTACCTGGCTATTGTATAAGGTACATGTATCAGAAAAATCTGAAATAATACGTGCGCGAATTATAAGTAGATTGCGCAAGTGAGACAATAGAAATACGAACACGTTGTAATTGAGTTTAGTTCAGTAAATTTTTATACAAAGTTTATCACATATGTGACTATCACTAAAAAGAAAATGTGTAGATCAGTGACAGTTTGTAAGTACAGCTTACTCTGCTGTATTTCGAATTAAACGCTGATCGTTGTTTGGTTAACTTACGTTCCGCGTTTGGGTCGATAATATTTTTTCTGGGGTAATATTTATACTTTAAATCGGAGTTCCACACTAAAGCGCTTCCGTCGTTTTCTGAAATACATAGCACTCTCTTTCTTCTTTCAAACGTCGGTCCGCTTAATGTGATTAAGTTCCCGAAAATGTTTACCACTTGGTTCATCAGAAGAATTAAAATAAATATTTTATTGATTATTCTTGACATTGTTACACAACGCACAATATTTTTCGTTCGCGAAACGAACATTTATTATAAATAAAGTAGATGAAAACACGCGGCCGGAATAAACAATGCGCCTTGTTAGTTTAATTTCGTTATGAGCATTTTAAAACTTGTGGATTACACACACATATCATGACGCGTGATCAACCATTCTTGTATTCAAAGTATTTTTACGCAAAAAATCACACTTCACATGTTTACAGAAAAATATCCACTTTAAACGGAATAAGTCTCTTATTCGGAAGAAGAAACTTGCATTTAAAATCGTAATACGTTGACTTGGACAATGACAAATTAATATTATGATTGGCGCACAGTTTGCTCGATGTAACATCATTAAAGACTGATGAAGAACTGATGGTTTCAGGCGGTAACTGGTAGGAAGGAACTCGACTTCCTTCTAGTGAATCTGCGATAACAAATTCTTTATCCGCGAACACGGTTGACGCATAAGGAAGTGAGGACTTTATCAGAAAATTGCGCACATTTGTATCATTTCTTTTTCTCCTCTTTTAACTCAATCAGTTTGAATTATGCTATTCTATATGCTAAGTTATTCTATGTCTGGCTATAAAACACGACTTGAAAAAAGCAGAAAAAATTTATTTATAGAAATTGTTTGTTTAAACATTTAGCAAAGAAATGTTCCGCTCTTCACTCGCCGATACCCTGACAATATATTTTTAATAAAATCCTGCTTGTCTATTTCTTGATTAGTTTTTAGACTTTTACTGGAGATGAATTTATTTATGTGGCGTAAGTTAAGATCATGTTCGTGATTATACACGGTAACTATTCGCACAATATTTGCTAAATAGTCACTGCTTATATGCATCAATGTATCGTTAATTAAAAAATAGTTTATAAAATAGATGGGAAGTGCTACAAAATATGTAAAATGTCCGCAATTATAAATATAAATATATAATAATATATTAATATAAATATTAATTATATATTGTCACAATTAAGCTATATGATAAATTTATTTGTCAAATACCCTAGTAATATAACAGTGTTATAACAGGTATATTTGAATGGTTATTATTAAAGATACATATAGGTTACGACATTACTATGGTTAAGTGAACAAAACACAAGACACTATTCTTATAAAAATAATATATAACGTACGCCGCAACCATGATTATTATGATACAAGTGAGCCACACTTCACTTTAATGTCCCCACGAACGTCCACCAGTCCAGTTGAAGGACATTTTTTTTTAATATAATACACTCATAAGAAAAATCACATTCCATTATAATAACCACTATTTCATATAATTCTCCGTTTTTTAGTGAACAATTTGTAGATTAATCGTCATCAAATGAATATACTTGACAGGTCAACCGACTAGTCTGTAACGAGAAAACACAAATATTGCGATGTTGCATATATGTTTTTCTTATACACGATCTTTGATAATTCTTTCTATCTTTGATAATTATTTCACGATTATTTCGCATACAATTGCATTCTCACGTTAAAATTTATTTGACATTGTTATTGTTTATACTTCAACGATTAAACCTTACAAAACTATCCATTACGCTAATACTCACGATAGAAGCATATGTACGCGTTGTGTCATTCAGGGACATTTATTTTGTGTAAATGTTATACTTTACCGAATTTTTGGCAACTTGCGAAACATATTCGATTCTGTTTTCGTCTTTGAATTAATAGATAGGCAATTTTGCACGTTGCTTGCAAATATCAGGTTCTTTTATAGATCACGCGTATCGTTCAGCCCTTTTAGTATGTGCAATAGAATTAAAAAATCAGACCTTAGCGTCAAGACCTCTAACTCACCATTTATAACCATACTTGATGGTGTTCGAAACTTCAAAGAACTCGTGTTGCCGGTTTCGTTCGTTGTCGTTACAGTTTGAAAGGAAATGTTATATTCTGTCGATGGCAACAAATATAACCGTAGGCTCTAGCTACGCAAGTAACATGTCATTGGAAAATCATACTCTTTAGTAAAGGATCGCGTAACGCGACTTCATAAAGTTGGCGATATTTCTTCTATTATGATGTGAAAACAGCATATGTGGCCACCTGTCCTCCAAGGATTTGAAGTCGACTATATTATTGTTATGAATAGTAAATGTGATATTATAAGCGCCGCTATCCTGACAATACATTTTTAATAAAATCTTGCGTATCTATTTCTTAATTAGTTTCTTAGGCTTTTGCTGGAGATGAATTTATTTATGTGATGTAAATTAAGATTATGCTCACTATTACGCACGATAACTATTCGCACAATACTAAATACTTGCTAACTGTGCATCAATGTATCCTTAATACAAAAATAGATTATAAAATAGATGGAAAGTATCTCAATATGTGTGAAATGTAAACGTTACCTAATTCTAAACATTAAATGCATCTACGATACATAATAACGTATATACACAATTTTTCTTAAATGTTATTGTGAATAGTAAATATTAGATTAGTTATAAGTCATAGTGCGATATTTACTATATAAGATTTTCTTCTATGAAAATCTATGGATATTCAATGAAAACAAAATATTGATTAATTAAGCTATCGTTATTTCTGCACGTACGCCAACATTCTAGCAATATTCGTTTTTTTACCCGAATACATCTCATTTAATGCATAAAAATTATTAAAAATATTACTAACTTTGCAACAAATATATTATTAGTTTATTATTAATTTATCGTTGATCTTCAAAGATTTTTATAGCTCTAATATTGATAAGTAAAGACAAAAACAGTAATTGCAACTGTTGAGAGTTAATCTATCCTGACAAACATATAAGTATTAACCTTCACACACATTAAAGTTTCAGTGTTATCAAACAATAAAAAACAAACAAAATTGAATATTATGTATTATAATATTTATTGCGACGAATATGATCGTATACAAGCAATCAGGATATATCAGAATATACATACATGATATGATACAGAAAGGAAGAAGCAGAAGAAAGAAAAGGAGAGGGAGAGAGAGAGAGAAAGAAAATGAGAGGGGGGAGGGAGGGAGGGAGAGATAGAGAGAGAGAGAGAGATGATTTACACTTTATAACATTTAGCTGAAGCATCATTAAAGTAGATTAATGTTTTTCTCGTCAATATATCATTTCTGTTCGCCATAAAAGACTTTTTTGTTCCAATAGTAAATACTTCATATAGCTCTTCTGTGGAGGATAGTTCGTGGGATGATTTACACCAATCAAGTCAGCTTGCAAGTCTATTGCAAATGAATATAAACGTGTAGAATATATGTAAAATGTAAAACACAAAATGCGTACGTATATACGTGTACATACGTGTATATATACATATATGTTTCATTATATTTTTTATATTTCTTTATATTTTATTATTCTTTTACGCGCGCAGTGCGCGAGATTCTTTCGTACTCGAATGATATCATCATTATTACTGTAATCTACGCTTTGATGTTGAGAATCCTTAAATCTACTCACCTAGGTTACTCTTGCAGTAATCTAAGTAAATGCACTCACGTAGATTATCAATCAAGATGGATCGACGTTTCACTCGTAAATACGATCCGTTCATCAGAAACGTCGCTTTCTGTTATTATAAATATTATTTTATATAATTCTCCATGTTTTAGTGGACAGTTCGTATGATTCGCAGGGCCGTTAATCCTAAATACCTCACCGGTCAGCTTATTAGTCTGTTACAAGTAAACGCAACAGATAAGATACAATTAGTTTTTATATTGATTATATTTAACCATTTCAGTATATATTTTAGTTGTGTTTCTTGTGACCAAAGAATTTTAACATTATTATGGTTTGCATTTATAAGATAAATACTTATAACATACACATATGACACAACCATAATAAAATTATCCATAGAGATTGTATGAATAATATATTTTGGAAAAACTTATAGTGTTAAAATTGTACATACCGGAATCTTGGCAACTTGCCAAACATGATCACCGCTTATATTCTTGTCTGCATGTACCAGTAGATTCTTGGGCAGCTTTGTATATTGCTCACAGAGATTAGATCCCTTTATTACAATATGGGTCATACTATCAAATGTATCATTCAAAACTTCCGGTATATACATTAATATTGTTGAACGAGGCGCCTGCACTAAGATCAACTTGTCATCCAAATCTATGCTTGAAGACGTTCTAACTTCTAAGAAAGTCGTATTACTGGACACGTTCATCATCGTTACTGTTTGAATAGAAATAACATATTTTGTTGACGGCGACAGATATAACCGCTTGCTATATTCACGCATATAATTTATCACAGAATATTCGTGTATCGCGATCTTGGATGATGGGAACACTCGATTTCTGAGATTTGACGAAATTTCTTCCACTTTGATACGAAAGCACCGTAGGTGACTACCTGTCCTCCAAGGATGAAGCCATTTTATGTCGACTATACCATGATCACGGATCGTGTAAGTGAAATTGCGTGGTGCGTCAGGTTCTAAAAAATGATCAAGCCATTTATTTAAGTCGGAACAGTAATTAGTAGGACTGCTGTTATTCGAAATTTCAAGATGTCTTTCTTATCTTCACCTAAAAATATATATTTTTTATTTTATGTATCTACTTGCTTTATTTATTTGCTGTATGTTTATTCACTTATGTGCATGATCTGTATTTATCTATTTATACATTTATTTTATAGAAAAATGTATATTTTTAGGTGTTTGCAAAGAATAATTAAAATTTTAGATGTTTGCAGGGATTGTAAGATTTTTTTTTTTTTTAGATGATATGCAAGGAAAAATTTAGAAAAAGTAGACTTTTTGATGATTGCTAAGTACTCGAATGACTACAGATCTACAATTCGCCAAAATCAGCCAGAAAATCTTCCATATATTGACTTATTAGCTTTAGTAGCCTTTTGTTATACATATGATAGATTAAAGAACCTACATAGCCTAAATCATTTATTTAGATCACGCTTTTTGCAGAATTTTTAACAAATTTTTTACAGTGATTAGAGAATACATGGTCTTACTTGTATTACTGAGCATTTCCTTCGTCACGAAAGCAAATGGGCTTGGTCGACAGACTTTCTTATTATAAGCTACAACCTATAAAAAGCATATTACACATTTCATAGATTTTCAATGTGTCTTCTAACTGATTTTCTCTCTCGTGTAAAATTCATATCATTGTGATTACAATTGTTTAAAATAACGAAAGTAACGTTTGCTTACATAAATTTGTTGATTATTGCTTCCTTGAACAGTTTTACATATATAGTTGTCCCATAAGTCGCAGGTCTCATTTAACTCAACATGTATCTGGACACAGTATGATTTATCTTTATTGCATAAGCGGACGGAGTAATTGCTTAATTTTCCGTTGGTAGGCAAAGGTGGACTTTGCCATCTTAAATGTATCATTTGGTTATTATCAACTTCCACGACATCCAGATTAGTTAATTTAGGCGGTGCTGTAATTTGAGAAATTTTCTTGTAATTATTTATAAAAAGTATAACACGAAACGACATATAGATTTAATATCAAGTTTTACCTTTAGACGGTGTTTCGAACTGATACTCTTCATAAGCGGAGGAATTTACTTGGTGTCCGTAGTCTCTCAGAGCGAAAATTTTCGCAACGTATCGTTCAGCACCGTATAATGTCTCTTGCATATCTAAATAGTTGTGTGAGGTATACTTGATCACAAAGAAATTTTTAACAGCGTCACTAATTCCCCGTATTTCGACTCTAGCGACTCTTAGTGGTCCCAAAATCGTCGTACAGTTTTCAGGAGGTTTCCACGATAATATCCAATCGCGTTCCCTCAATTGAGTAAACTTAACTGCTGGTACCTCTGTAAAATTGTTAGTCGTTATACGTAAGGTCTTAAACCTGTATATGAACAATGATTTGCAAAACTAGTTGAACATAATGAAGTTGAAAATTCATCGAATTATCAAAATTGGCAGTCATTATTGACGGGTTTGTCCAGTAATTACATTATTAATCATATTATTTTTAAGTAAGAAAATTCGTCGATAATAACTTTCTTGACAGTTTCGTGACATCCAATTTTATTGTGTCTATACAGTTTTGCAACCCACTATACATGCATCGACAACATAATATTTTTGTTGCCTCAAGGTATACAATTTTTTAATTAAATATTATAAAACTAGTTAAATATTATAATTAAATATATTATAATATTAATTAAATACTATAGTATTAGAAATAATTTTCTAATTATGCAGAAAGCAACACTTGTAACAATCTACTTAATAACTTAATTTCAAAATTAATTATGAATTTGTATGCTTCATTATAGATTAACGAAAAAGTTACTAAAAAGATATTAACTATGTAATAAATGATAATATAATGACTAATTAGTATATACCCGTTGCTACAGTGTGAAATGTCGCCCGTGATGGTTTGCTGTAATGTCTTGAATTGTGTGCTACAATTTGTACATTATATTTTGCATAGGGATGTAATCCCGAAATTGTAATTGTTGTTATATTTATCGTTCTCGTAATAATGTGATTAACTGTTGTACTCAATCCATAATCTCGACATCCAAAATATTCTTCAACCTGAAATTAATAGACAACGCTTGCTTAAAGTGTAAAAAAATATCACATTGTAAAAAATTGTGTGTTAAATTTAATACATTTCACAATTTAACCACTTTATTCTTTCAATTTAATATAAAGCTGATATGTTAACAAGTAACACAATCTTTTTGTAACCTCTCTCAAGCTAACAGGACCAAATGAGCAGAATCGAATTGAACCTATCGCATTTTTTAGTATTCATTTTGTACTATTTTGTACCACAAAAAAAATTTGTACCACGTGCCGTTTTAAAAAAAATGGTGGCGCTGCTAACTTGATATCAAGCTAGTAGGACAAAAAAAAATAATAAAAAAAAAATAAACCATAGTACACACAATTAGTACTGAATTTGTACTAATTTGTATCATTCGAAATAAATCAAAAATTTTATATTTTCCCCATTAAACAACCTCTCCCTTATTTTAACCTAATATAAAGATAGCAGGATCACGATTTTTTCACTTTTTCTTGATGGTTCAAATTAGTACAAATTCAAAAACGATAAAATCTATCATTTCTTGTCGTTTTTAATGAAAACTGGTAAAAACCGATAGAAAACGATAGATTTTATTGTTTCTAAATTTGTACTAATTTGTACCACCGAGAAAAGTATGTAAATATTTCTGTTTACCCCTTAAAACAATCTTACATTTAACCTCAAAAATAAAATTTCTCTCTTTTGATTATTAAGAATTAAATGGATAAAATCAAATTATATTTATTGCGTTTTTTTATTACTCATTGTGTACTATTTTGTACCATAAAAAATAATTTTGTACCCTGTATTATTTAAAAAAATATTGTGGTCCTGCTAACTTAATATAAAGAGAACAAAATAAAAACTGGTAAAAAAGACAAGAAATGATAGATTTTATCGTTTTTGAATTTGTACTAATTTGTACCATTAAGAAAAAATAAAAAAATCGTGATCCTGCTATCTATATATTAGGTTTAGATAAGGGAGGGGTTGTTTAAAGGGAAAATATAAAATTTTCGATTTATTTCGAATGGTACAAATTAGTACAAATTCAGTACTAATTGTGTGTACCATGGTTTATTTATATTTTAATTTTTTTTTGGTCCTGCTAGCTTGATATCATGTTAGCAGCGCCACCATTTTTTTTTAAAACAGCACGTGGTACAAATTTTTTTTTGTGGTACAAAATAGTACAAAATGAGTACTAAAAAATGCGATAGGTCCCATTCGATTCTGCTCATTTGGTCCTGCTAGCTTGAGAGAGGTCTTTTTGTATATTTTATATATGGGATATGTTACTAAGGAAATATGTTATATATAGATTGTGTTATTTTAATACATAAAAACTTATATTATTTTAATACATGAAATGTTTTAACAATTAGAAATAGTAAATATGTGAACTCAAGGCAAAAGAGTAAAAATAACATAACAACAATAAGTTAAATTAACACAGGTATTTTAAAAATTTAACACGAACATTTTTATACGATCGAATGCTATTACAGTACAAAATGTTTTTTACTGTGTACATAAGTGAGAGAAAAATTTTATGTTATAATTAAAATCCTTCTCTTAATTTTTAGAGTATTTTGACTTGTCTATTGATCAATTTAATTATCCCATTAACTTGTTACCAATAATTAAATAAACTTTATTAAAAAAAGTCGATCGTGAAATTGCATATCATATATCAAGGAAATTATTCTTTTTACTGAACTTTTTATTAACTGTTATTGTATTGTAGTGATTTTGAGACAATAGGAGGTTGATTATCGTCGATTTCCACGTAAGTACACTTGACTGATATTTGATTTTTCATTAACTAATAAATTATAATTGCTGAACGATGTTAACATACCTTCAAGAAGATCATGTATTTAGTTATTACTCCATTTGGTTTCTGGGGAGAAGCCCAAACCAATTTAACTCGCGAACTTGAAGTCGAGATCGCTTCAAGATTTCTCACTTCCGATGGAACTATAAATTATTATAATATATTATTTACAAAGTATACGCGTAGCGTGGATTAATTAATGTACATACGCAAATTAGACTTTTCCTAAATATATGAACCCACATTTAAACTCACCTCCTTCGAGTGTGCATATTTCCCTGGTAAACAGCTTCTTATTTCCATGAAGTATAACAATATTGTAATACGTGTATGGTGTTAAATGTGACAATGTATATGGGAAGGATATTATTGATGCATTAATCATTTGGTCATTCTGATTATCTGCTTGTTGGAATAGCAGACGATACGAATTTATCAAGCAGAGATACAAACTCTACGACCCAGTAAGAAAGCCAGTATTGAATAGACATAACACATTCGTTCTTATGCAAATTCTTTAGGAAATATAAAAATAAGAGACGAGAGAGAGTACTAATTACACACTTACTTTTTCTCCATCTTCCATATCAATGGTTAAACTCGTTTCATTTGGAGTTATACGGAAATCTTTAACCACTAATATGTTAACAAAATTATAATATACTTAGTACATAAAATATTGCAATTGATAAAAAAGAGAACAAATTTTTTAATCGAGAACTAGAATATTGTAAACGCATGAATTACGATCCAGATATAAGGAAATACCTCTACTCTTGCAAACATTTTAACTTTGATGTTGCCAGCAATATTTAAACTGATGTTTGTATAGCTATTATGCTGAATAATAATTCCAAATTATGTAATAACAATACGTTAATATGTTAATTTTATATGTTTGTATATGTATTGTATTAATTTTATATGTATTGTCCTATGTAATATTGTTAATAATCTCAATTTAAAACATTCTTTGCGTTCCTATTAGTGAAAACAATATGAAAATGGAAAGAGAAATCTAACTTACGGACGCAAGTGGTCTTCACATTCATCCAGGTACTCTTTATTACTACATGTCCAATAGATAATAAGCACCTAATTTGATAAATTGTTGCAGTTTGCAAATTTTCAAATTTTCCTATCAATTCGGTAGTATTTGAAAATATTCTCTTCCACATTTGTCGATGCATAGAATTCCCGTCCAATGTCTGGAAGGAAAATATTCAATATAATTTAATTAATCGCTTGCTATTTAAAAAAATTCTCAGTAATTACGGATTATTCGAACAAGTATTGTTAAATGTAGTTTACTTTAATATCGAATGAATATATAATATCAGCTTTTTCATATTCCTCTTTCCATTTCATTGAAACAGTGGCTATGATAGTCGTTTGGTTTTTAAATACAATCTGAATTTCGTTTGGAGCCTCAAGACCTTAAAAATAATTGATATGATAGAAAACTAGAATTTTTTTTTAAAGAATGTTATATATCTGTTTAGTAAGTACAATATAAAAATAAACATTCTATATTATTGAGAATTGTTACCTGTTTGACACAAAGGAAATATGTAAGTGTAATTTGCCGTACTTTTGCACCCTATAGGGCATGCTCCACTTACACTATCACACTGTTTGTCGTGCAGACATGAGCCACACTTTCCTCTGCAATCAAGTCCATAGAAACCGTTTCTACATTCTGCAAAAGAAAAATGCAGTTATGTATAAAATTTGTATATTAATTACAAATCATTTCAATAATATAGAATCTACTCATAAATGAGTCACTGGTCTCAGTTTAAAATACAATCAAACTCACCTGCTTTGAGTGTGCGAACTATTCGTACAAAAAGTTGTTTATTTCCATGGAGTATAATAATAATGTACGATGTATGTGGTGTTAAACGTGATAATGTATATGGAAAAGATGTAATTGAAATATTCGTCGTTTGTGTGTAACTATTTTTATTATCAATTTTTTGGAAAAGCAGACGATACGAATTTGTTGGGCATGGATACAATGTTTGCTATATAGAGGAAAGCAAATATTGTATTAGTATACTTCATTCAGCAAACTAGATGTGTACGTAAATCTATTAATAGTTTACATACGTTTTTGCTGTCTCCCATATTAATCATTAAAGTTGTTACATTCGGCGTTATACGAAAATCATGAATTGCTAAATTATTAAAAGAATAATAAAGTTTGCATTAAAAATTTATGTATTAAACATTACATATTAAAATTTTTTCAGGAAGACAAACAGATTTTTAAACAATATTTTTGTCGATAAATACAATCAATACATAAATTACGTTTTTATGTAATAAAATGTATTTTATATCAAAGTTTCTGAAGGTATATATCTAATTATATATCTAATTAAGATAAAACCTATAAAATGCGTTCCATGTTAATACAAATAAGTCTAGAATAAGGAGAATAATAATGTTTGATAGATTATTATAGACGCACGTGCAGAGTATCTTTTCAATCTCATAACATATACGGTGATTTAAACCTTTTACATCAAGTTGATCCTTGATCACAATCATTATTGTTATTTTATCAATTTTGCCTCTAGCAATTTCCAATTATGCACTTCTTTTTTATGTACGTTTAAAGCATACGTTCTTATCTTTCTCATAAATAGAAGTATTTTACATCTACGGACAATACGCTATAAATCTTCTTGATAATGTTCACGCTAAAGCTTATGCAATTGCTATTACACGAAGAAAGATAAGAAAATAATTCCAAGTATGTACAATAACAATAATAGTAATGTAAATAATAATATATAAATATATGATTTTAATGTTTTAAATATTTGGAATGTTGTACTCATTTCATCAAATATAAAAACATAAAGTAGTAAAATTATTAAAGGAAGAATTCTTTAGATAAAAAGTAGAAATTAAAATAAGGCAATATAACAATTCTAACACAGATGATTTAGTGCGATAAAAAACTAATAATAATATTAGTGGCCATTTTCCATACGATGTGGCAGAAAAAATTTATTTAATCATTTTAAAATAATTAAAATAATTAAATGTCTCAATACGCGTTTTGATCCATACCTGGATCGTTTCACTCCCCTATATGGTAAAAAAAAACAAAGCCATACAACGAATGAATCTAAACGCGTATGGCGACAATTAATCATTTCATTCAATCAATCATTTCATATATAAATAAATTTTTTCCCTCACAACATAAAGAAAACGGTCACAAATATTATTACTAGTTTTTTATCGAACCAAAACATCTGTATTAGAACTCTTATATTGCCCTATTTTAATTTCTAATAATGTAGTAACTTAAAAACAAATCTGACTTACTGTCGCAAGTGGTTTCGACACTCAACCAAGTGTCATTTAGTACTGTCTGCCCAACAGATAAAGAGCACATTATTTGATAAGTTGTAGCAGGTTGTAAATTTTCAAATCTCCCTATTAATTCGATAGTATTTGAAAATATTCCCTTCCACGCTTGTCGATCCACAGAATTTCCGTCCAATGTCTGAAAGAAAAATATTCAATATAATTTATCTATTCGCTTGCTGTTTAAACAAAATTCTCAGTGCTTGTAGGTTATTTGAAAAAGTATTGTTAAATATTGTTCACTTTAATGTCGAATGAATATGAAATATCAGCTTTTTCATATTCCTCCTCCCACTTCATTGGAACACTGACTACAATAGTTGTTTGGTTCTTAAATACGGTCTGAAGTTCGTTTGGAGCACCAAGACCTCAAAAATAGTTAATATATTACAAAACTGTTTTAAAAAAAGTTATATATCTGTTTAATAAATTCAATATAAGAAGAAGCGTACTGTGTTTTTGAGAATTATTACCTGTTTGACACAAAGGAGATATATAAGTGTAATTTGCTGTGCTTTTGCACCCTACAGGGCATACTCCACTTGCACGATCGCACTGTTTGTCGTGCAGACAAGAGCCACATTTTCTTCTGCAATCAAGGCCATAGAAACCGTTTCTGCATTCTACAAAGGCAAAATGCAGTTATTTGTAAAAATTTGTATATTAATTACAAGTCATTTAAATAAAATAGGATCTACTCATATAATCAAATCGATAACGCGAAAAGTTTAAAATACAATCAAACTCACCTGCTTCGAGTGTGCGGATTATTTGTGAAAAAAGTTGTTTATTTCCATGGAGTACAATAACAATGTAAAATGTGTGTGATGTTAAACGTGAAAATGTATATGGAAAAGATGTAATTGAAACATTCGTCATTTGTGTATAGCTATTTTGATTATCTATTTGTTGGAATAGCAGGCGATACGAATTTGTTGGACATGAATACATTGTTTGCTATATAGATGAAGGCAAATATTATATTAGTATTCTCTATATGGCAAACTAGAAGTGTACATTAGTCTGTCAATTATTTACTCACATTTTCGGTGTCTCCCATGTCAATCGTAATGTTTGTTATATTCGGCGTTATACGAAAGTCATGAATCCCTAAATTATTAAAATCATAATAAAATACACATTAGATATTTATGCATTAAACATTGCAGCTAAAATTTTTTCAAAGTGGAAACTAAATTTGAACAACATTTTCATCGATAAATACAATCACGTACTTATTACAAGCCTTATCTTTCTCATAATTAGAAATCTTTTATATCTGTAGATAATACCTCTTTTCGTAGACTTTACGCTATAACTTATGTAATTGCTATTACACAAGATAATAATCTCAACTTGTATGCATAATAACAATAATAATAATATAAATATATGATTTTAATATTTGAAATCTTTGGAGTTTTGTACGAATTCCATCCTATATAAAATCATAATAAAGTAATATAAAAACAAATCCAAAGCAAACATTGGCATTTTGCACAATGTCACAATGCCCTAAAAATAAATATTTTTCGCGAAACAAATTATAACCTTGAGTAATTAAATAATTTTGAGTAATTAAATACTTCTCGATTGAATCAGTTTCAATTTACACATAAATCGTGAATTAAACGTTTTTTAATTAAAGTTACTATGATGAACAGGTTACCTGATAAAAAATTGTTTATGCATAATTGTATAATATTAACATGTATGGATAAATTTCATACATAATTATATATAATAATGTAAAATTATATATAATTTTATATAATTTTACACAAATATGTACGAACAATTTTTCATTGGGTAATATCAACTGTCAACTGATCAAATGTCTCTTACATTTACAAATATAGAGAATTTCGACTTTTTCGTAAGAAACTAGTTAAAGGTTTATACATAATCGCTATTTTCCTAAATAATAATCTAAAGTTGCACGTCAATGGTGTTTTAATCATATATAAATATAATTTTGTAACAATCCTAACACTTAAAACGTACCGCGAATTTAAAATAACGAAAAGATCATGACGTAAAAGCTGAAAAAAACTGGAAAAGCTGGAAAACTTACAATCACAATGAGTATCCACATTTTTCCACTTGCCATAGACTGGAACCTGATTAATTAAAAACACACATTGTATACTATAAGTTGTGTCATGTTCCAAATTTTCAAAAGTTTCTTCTAATTTTGTGCTATTTTGAGATATTTTCCGCCACTCGTACTGTTTCACGGATTTTCCGTCTGGCGTCTATGAAAAAAATATTTTAAAAATTTACTTAATGGGTTACAACCCAAATAAAAATCTAGGCACTTCATAGATTTTTAGTGTATAAATATCGTGTAAAAATCTTTATAGATGTTTTGTGTAAGTAACAGTAAATACGGTTTACTTGAATGTTGAATTTATAGAAAAGATCTGTTTCTTCGTATTCTTTTTCCCACTTTATTGAAACAGTAGCTACGATGGTTGTTTGATTCGTAAAGATGAATTCAGTTTCGTTCGGTTTACCAACAACTTCAAAAGAGTAAACATATTAAACAATTATTTGAAGAATGTGTTATTTATTGGTTTAATAAGCATAATGAAAAAGACCATCTTATTCATTGTAGAGAAATATTACCTATTTGACATAAAGGTGGTGCGTAAACATAGGTTTCCGTATTTCTGCATCCGTTATGGCACACTCCAGATATTGGATCACATTGTTGGTTTTGCAAACACGAGCCACACTTATTTTTACAGGCGTGGCCGTAAAGGTTGTTGTCACAAGCTGGAAACGCAATTCACTAAATAAAGACAAATATAAATGCATTAAAGCAAACTTATTAACACTATAAAATTGCAAAATACTTACATATGTTACATCCAGGCCCTGTATACCCAGATGTACAAGTGCAGCCATTGTCGTTACAAATTACAACACTGTTGCAGTTAGTACTGTTTAATGCACTATCACAATGGAACTTACATGCTGGTCCAGTAAATCCAACAGGGCAATTTTTATCATCTAAAATGAATAATAAATAATGTATGATTATATACATAACATATAATTAAGTAATCGTTTATTTCTGTTTAAATCAATTCTGTATAAATCAATTTCTTCTGTTCCACACCAAAACTTTACGAAAACACATATTATACAAAATGATTCTATTACAGAAAAAGAGATGAATATTTTTATTAAATCACCTAATTCCACATTTAAATCAGCATCGTTAAAAATCTGCACGACGGATTGTTTTTTATAAAACAGTTTTTGACAAACCACCTTAGGCCAGAAATATTCCCTATTTCTGATATCCCAATCCATACGAATAATTGCAACGCTTTGTCTTAAGCATCCTGTATGGGGAACTAGTTATTTTGTAAATGTAGAACGGATATGAATATCCTGTTAATGGGTATACTTTTCAAATTGTACGATGAATGTATATTATTTATAGTTATTAACTAATGCAGTAATTGAAAATATCCAAAAATTTTGGAACATACACACCGTTTGACGGACATTGACGAACATTCGCTATCGCCCATATCGGATTAGATACGTTTAGATTGAGTTTTGGTGTCACTACAATTTTCAAGGAATTATGATTATACGTTGCTATTTTTGCTGTGATTTTTACGGGCTGCCACATAGGCAAGCCATGGACGGCTGCCACTGATGAGCCCTTTACAATTATAGTCTTCAAGATCTCATCAGGCGTATGTAACGATACATCGGCATCGCATTGTGCGCAAAGGCCGATTAACATTTGTAAACATATATCTTCAGTGTTTATATAAAATATATTGCTTGTTAAAATTGTATTCTTGATGCTTGTGTAAAGATAATCGTCTGAAAGCAGTGTTTATGACTTAAATTTATTGTTTGTAATTCAATTTTTGACATTAATCACATGAAAGTTAACAATATTTCTAAATAGCATATACTCACATTCATGCAATCGGATCATCAATGATAAGGCGCTTCTAATATACAATTTATAGGTAAAATTTGTATTATTATATGTATCCATGTCTCTGTATGTCATAATCAGTTGATCAGAATCATAAAGGGATATATTTCTTGTCTCAGAGTTCCATGTAAGAACAAAGGTTCGCCATTCGTATTGAGCCAATGGTGTATGCTATATTAAATATCAATAAACTTTAAATATTATAATTTATTATCATTTATTTTATTTTCATTTTCAAGGAAAATAGATTCTTCATAATTATGTAATGACAAAACCTACCGCAAATAATATTGTAATAATATTCTATTACACAACTAATGAATTTAGAACAAACAAATCACTAAAGTTGGGAAGTAACGCGTTATTTGTAACGCCATCCCCGTTACCGTTATTTTTTTTTCGATATTGATCGTTACTTTTTCCTATTTGTAACCATAATAATAATGAATACAATAGTTACTTTAATTATTTGTATTCAATAGATAATGCGCCGGTCGCATTTTGATAACGTGTATTAAGTATACTTGATTGGATAGAAATATCTCGATGGAATCGCAATGGAAGACAGTACATGATTTTATTTTATCCTTCATATAAAAATAATTTTTAGTACAAAGTCGAGTTTTGCAATTTAGCTGTTAAAAATTTTTAGTAAATTGAATAATAGTCATAATTATTGTAGTTCACTTTTTTTATAAAAAAACATGAAACAAATTGTTAGTGTATGTGTATTATATTAGATATATATATATATATATATATATATATATATATATATATATATATATATATATATATTATAAAGTTTATTCACAATTTTTTAGAGCCAAATTGCAAAACTTAGCTTTACACCGAAAATGTTTTTTGTGTGAAGAATAATAAAAGAAGATAGAATCAAACACGTAAAAAATATTCTCTAAGTAAGGATTATTGCAGTTTTTAAAGGTTAGTTTTCTTAGATGTACTGGCTACCCTAAAAATAATAATTAAACAATAAAAAATAATAATTTAAGTTTAAAAACAATAATTTTATTTTTAAATCAATTACGTATTTTATTTTAGTATTATAAAAAAGTAACAAAGAAGTGACGAACCGTTACTTTCTTAGCAACGAGTAACGGTTACGAGTTAAATGACGGTAATGATAACTTTAACACGTTACTTTTTTAAAGTAACGTACTCAACTCTGCAAATGACATATTACATTTAGATAGACGCGTTCCACTGCACATTCGGAGCCACTGGGCGGGTAAACTCCAATATTAGACACTCCTTTCAAACATTTTCGGATAACAGATTTGGTGTTTTCCCAACCTCCTATAATGACCCAGTAGCATAAATTTCTTACATAATCATTGTTACAAATCAATAGGTGTACGTCTTTTGTCGCACGAATCGAAAATGGAAGTACTACTGTGTTTGTATTCAAATATTTAAGATTGTAAGTTTTTTCAGCACTGTACATGTATTCTTTGAACCCTGAAAAGGTTAAATATATATTGATTAAAACTCCTGAACTTTTTAGTATTTCTATTATGGATAACTGTAAATGTGATGCGTTTGGCAAATATTGCAATTGCATTTACAAACATTGCAAGTATTTTTTAAACAAAAAAAAGTTTACCTTCCCATCGTCGATCGAACACCGGGCCCATAGGTATATCGATAGAATTTATGATCTTCCAGTGATTTCTCTCCCAAAAATTCAAACAGCCACTTTCATTATCCAGTTTGCAATCTATCTGATTATTGTATAAGTTACATGTATCAGAAAAATCTGGAATAATGCGTACGCGGTCTATAAGTAGACAATACTGCGTAAGACAATAGAACGCGTAAGTCAGAACAGGAAGTCAGAAATCTAACGGAAAGATGCGCATGTTTATATCATTTATTTTTCTTTTCTTTTTACTCTTTTTACAATCTACAAATTATAATATTCTGCATGCTAAATTATTCTACGTGCAGCTTTAAAACACAACTTAAAAAGCAGAAAAAATTTGTTTATAGAAATTATTTGTGTAAACATTTGGCAAAGAAATGTTTGACTCCTCACTGACCGCTATTCTGACAATACGTTTTCAATGACTGCGTAAGACAATACGAACACTTCGTAATTGAGTTTAGTTCAGTAAATTTTTATACAAAGTTTATCACTCATGTAACTATAACTAAAAGGGAAACTCAGTGTAGACTTTTTAAGTATAGCTGATTCCGCTGTGTTTCTGATTAAGCACTGATATTTGTCTAGTTAACTTACTTTTCGCGTTTGGGTCGATAATATATCTGCTTTTGTAATATGTAAACTTTAAATCGGCGTTCCACACTAAAGCGCTTCCGTCGTTTTCTGAAATACATAACACTTTCCTTCTCCTATCATATATCTGACCACTTAATGTGGTTAATTTTCCGAAAATGTTTACCACTTGGTTCATCAGAAGAATTAACACAAACACTTTATTGATTGGTCTTGACATTGTTACATAATGCATATTACGTTTCGTATGCAAAATATACATTTATTATAAATAAAATTGATAAAAACACGCGGCCGGAGTAAACATTATGCTTTATTAGTTTAATTTCCTCATAAGCATTTCAAAACTTATGCATCATACATACATATCATAGCACGTAAGCAAACATTCCTATATACCAAGTATTTTTATATAAACAAATCACACCTCGTTTGTTTTTAGAAAAACGCACACTTTAAGCAAAATGAGTCTCCTATTCAGAAGAAGAAACTTGCATTTAAGCTCGTAATACATAGACTTGGACAACAGAAAATAACAAATTCATATTATTATTGGCGCACTGTTTGCATGGTCTCGACATAACATTATTTATACTGATGAGGAACGGTGGTTTCAGGCGGTAACTGGTAGGAAGGAACTCGACTTCCTTCTAGTGAATCTACGATAAAATGTTCTCTATCCGCGAACGCGGTTCACACATCAGGAAGTCAGAAATCTAACGGAAAGATGCGCATGTTTATATCATTTATTTTTCTTTTCTTTTTACTCTTTTTACAATCTACAAATTATGATATTCTGCATGCTAAATTATTCTACGTGCAGCTTTAAAACACAACTTAAAAAGCAGAAAAAAATTTGTTTATAGAAATTGTTTGTGTAAACATTTGGCAAAGAAATGTTTGGCTCCTCACTGACCGCTATTCTGACAATACGTTTTCAACAAAATCTTGCGTATCTGTCTCTTGATCAGTTTCTTATGCTTTTGCTGGAGATGAATTTACTCATGTAGCGTAAATTAAGATCATGTTTGTTATTATGCAAGATAACAATTCGGCATTGAGTGATGTAATGAAACTCGACTTCCTTTTAATAAAATCTAGATGACAAATCTATCCATTGAACGAAACTCGTATATCAGAAATTGTGAAAACTTTATCTTAATGTTATATATATTTATATCAAGTTATTTTTATTATTAATTTTTATTAAATTAAAATAAATTGTGCAATTTCATTTTTAAATGTTCCTATGTGTCAGGATCTCCTACACGTCTTTAAAAAATGGTATAAAATACGAACAGGAGAATTTGTTTATGTGAAAAATTCGTACATTCCATAAATGTTCTGTGAAAAAATATTTCTTCTTTGCAATCTTAACGATATCTTTTGAAAAAGTTTTTGCACGAGCACTTTGATCGAATCACAGCTTTTTGCTAATTTAATTTTTAAAAAATATTTGCTATTTAGTTTTGTTAGTTAATAATGTTGTAATATGAGTATTTATTTAAGTGGAAAGGATACATAATAGTACAAGGTTATATATGAATATATGTATATTGCACTAGTGACTGCCACGGATTTGTGTATCGACGTCTACCAGATCTCGCTATTGTCTGTCTGTCCTCTTAGCAACAATCATCCCCTCCCTTGTCCTCAGTAACACGCGCACGCAAGCGCGCGCTGGCTAGATCGGTTGCTTTACCATCTATTACCGACTTCACAAGTACAGAGGATGATACTCGTACATACTTATCTTATGAGGATAAGATCAATTACTTACAAATAAAAAAATTGAAAAATTCTGCTAGTTTAATTTATATTTGAGACATAGTTTTTCCGAATTAAACCTTATCTAATTCTGCTTGACTCGTCAGGAAATGAACATTATCGAAAATTTTTACTGTTGTATTTTTATGAGATTTATGAAAGAAGTATGAATTTATATAAGTATGAATTTAACACTTATGCTGAAAGTATAATTTGCAACAAAAGAGTAATACGAAAAGTTAAAAAAAATAAATTAATAAAAAATAAAAAAATAAAAAAGAAATAAAGAAAATAAAAAAAATAACAAAATAACAAAAAAGTGGAACTGACCCTCACCACGTCCTCGTTCGTGGTTCTGGATTTGACTAAGAGTGAGGGAAATTAGACAAATCGATTATGGTATTTCCAGCATATTAGTTTTGTTTACTTTTTTTTCGACACATTCCTCAAGATAGAAATATATACGTACATGAATGTTTCATAATGTTACTTTTCCTACACTTCCCAAATTCTTTATTTTAGCCTCTTACATCTTATAAAGTATAATTTTACGAAATTTTGGAAAATTTTTATTTTTTAATTCGGCTATATTACATTTGCTATAATTAATAATTCGTTAAAAAAAAACGTAGGCATTACAATTTTCAAAATTTTTAACAAGTTCTTTTTATATTTTCAGTTGGCTATATGCAATCCGCCATTTTGAATTTTTTAATTTTGGTCTCGTATTTGTATTCATTGACCCTAAAAACATAACTATATCAATTTTCAAATGATTTGAACCACTACTCCTTTTGTCGAACCGCCATATTGGATCCGCCTTTTTTAATTTTGCCATTTTGATTTCAGATATAAAATTAGCAATCTCGAAAACTTTCGAGTACCAATTTTCATTTCACTATAACACAAATTGATTCCATTATTTTAAAATGTTCGCTTATTTGGCGTTTCGTCTCACTGTGCAGCGTGACTTGTTTCGTTCACTTGTGTAGGGTCGACAATGAGATCGCCGATTATGATGCGTACGCAATCGGCAGCCGTAGGACAGCCGAAGTAAAAGGACGAACGGCCAGTCTCGTGAGCGTAATAATCTGTTAAATATTTTTCGCCACATAATAGTTCGAGCCAACTTCCCTACACTTATATTTCCTCCAATTTTAAATAAAAAGCTTTGATAAAATCTGAGATATTTCTTCAAAGATGAATAAATGTCAGTACAAAATTCTGTAGATTTAACCATTTACCTAAAATTAATCCCCAAAAATCGCCTTGAAAACGGGTCTTCACACTATAATATCCCCCTAAAGTAGAGAAACATGGGGCATAATGAATATACGGGGTATAATGGGATATAGCTACCATATAATAAAATATTATACAATAATTACTATTAGATATATCTTGCTATTATAAGTTGTTATATTAATTTTAACTGAACGTTGCTAGAAATTATTTAACGTGCTCTCTGCGACTGAATTACAGTTTTTTTTATACACTTGCATAAAGTAAGTAATAATACAATCCTGTTTTTTTATTATCGTAATTCCATTTAGACCATTAAATAATCCTTTCTTGTCACTTTAATAAAGAATCTGTGCAAATATCGATTGTCTATGATGTTTTATATTATCTCCAATAAATTTATACACTTCGAAGCATAACGGGTCACTAGTATACAGGGAATATTTGTGCGTTATGTTCTTAAGATTTTTTTTTCTTTATACTATAAATATATAAGTTATGTTTTGCAAATTTTATATACCAAATATTAATCACAGATATTACATGAAATTTTTCTTTTTATTTATATTTTAATGATAAAATAATATATATAGGTAAACCTTTACAATAATTGATATCATATACATATGCAAAGTAAAAACGTTCACATAAAACAATATACATATATGTATATTGTCATTGTTGAATATAGCTTGTTATGTCTATAGAACACGCGACGAACACTCGCTGAAGCAATTTCTATACAATCAATCTCGCTGGTAATTCGATGTTTCCAAAACCTGATCGAAAGCCCTTAATGCCTATCAAAATTATACGGAGTGAACTAATGAGATTAGCCATCTTAGATGTCTTCGAAACAATAGCACTTACCTTAGTGACACTTACAACTTTTAAATACAAATAAAATGATATTTTTCGATAAACGTTATATATTATAGTATCAACAATCGCTTCTTTTTTATTTAGTTGAGACTTCGGAGAAGATTAACTTTATCTTCTCAATAAAAAGAAATCATATGATTTTCTTATTACATAAATCGATTTTATTCGTTTCTCTATCCAAAATTGTTGGTAAAATTATATAATTTAATAATAATATATAATTTAATAATGCATTTTCGCATGTCAATGTCGTCAATGGTCGTCCGATAATATGAGGGAAATAACGTGCTACCAGTACAATTAATTAGAAATCTTACTTTTTGTTTCAGATCTGTCAAAGCTGTGATGGATGCGATTCCCGGAAATGCAGATTCGATGAAAGACATAAATTAAAATTCTTGTATAGCCAGTACTTGCACAAACACTAGCTCAAGAAATGTTAAGAATTCTCTACTGAACTATCCTCGTTAAATTTTTTTTTGACTGCAATTCTTCTTTCGTGTAAAAAATGGTAATGATGTGATGTAATTTCTCAGAAATATTGTACAATACTTTAACAGTGCATTTTTTTTTAATTAATTGGAGACGAAAATTTTAATTTTCGTAAACATTTCAGTTTACTAAATAAATCCACGAAAAACACGATAGTAACGCGGAAGCTAATTCGAACATTTCTCCATACTATGAAAGCTTTAAATATTATAAACGAAATAAATTTATTTTTTGTGGTACGGAAATAAATTTATTTTGTAGAGTGATTGGAAGAGTTTATAAGCATATTGAAAGAGAAATAGTCTGTATCATGTATGATATATTTTTTAATACATTTGATATTTTTTGCACTATGATTTTTATTTCATACAAAAATATGCCACTGAATTTAATTATTCTATTTGAGAACTTTACACGACTCACGGTGTTATTAACGGTGTTATACGCACAGAGTCGCCTCGTATGTCATAATATGATTACTTTATAAGTACGCACTTACTTTTATGTAATCTAAATATAATGGCTCATAGACAATTATTTTCTATTTTAAGAACGCTACTTATTGTTGCTTATTATTATACAGTTTCATGATACATAATTAGAATCTCAGAATAGATTCCAGTAACGCAATCTTAATAAAAAGGTGGAATAAAAGACCGCGAATAAATAATGTACGCATGTGTACACACGAGAATTCGTACGCGTTGAGAAAATGCGTGCTGCATTAAAAAAAATGCGAAAATTTCAATACTTACATAGCAAATATGAACGTCGGCACTTATGTATATAAACGGCGATAATTTGCCCTTTATACAAATATCGAAGTGTTAAAAAATAATTCCGCCTCGATAAATGTATCTTTAGAAAAAAGAGACACAAAAGAAACAAGACTGTCTACTCTCGCATACGTTACATTTCTTACATAGATCGTCTGGTGTCACTTTAATTTATCTTCTTCCTTTACTCGTGAAACAGAGAATATTGTCTTTCTCCTGACAATCGACACACGTCGAATTCCACGAATTCCTCGAATTCGTTTCAACTGGCATGCAGTCATATTTCCGCAATTCTGCCTAACAGAAAGAAAATTCCGCAATAGCCGAATTCATAATGTTAACGTGCTAAGTCACATGCTAAGGAGAAAATCGCGGTATCCAAGAATGCACTCGTCGATGACGTCCGAGGCTGCACCTCGGCGACAGAAGAGCCAGCAGGGCCAGACCAGCACCCAAAACCGACACGCCGCACAAAGCACCCGCTGTGATGTCGTGAAGAGGTGTACCGTCTTTTGGGGATTTGACGGCGAGCAGTAGTAAACCTGCGCAGCTTAACGCCGACAGTCCAGCTAAACCCAATCCCGTCCACGTCCTTCGTAGACTCCTACACGCACCCGCCAGGGTACAGCAAGCACCACAGCCGGCTGCGCTGTCGAAGTAGTACCTGAAAATGAGTTCGTCGTCAAACTGTGTGTGAATTGTCGCGTGTGCGATTACGAAATTAATCTGACGTTCACTCGCAGATGACGTTGCGGGAAGGACCTGTCTTGTGCAAAGTATTAGTACGATATATAAATTAAGAGTATATCAGAATATTATTATAATGGTTACTAAGCATTGTGACATAAATATGATTAAGAAGTACAAGATAATTTTTTGTACGAAAGTTGTACAAACTTCTTATCCGAACAATTTTCCCTCAAGGCGTTAAAGAAAGTGAAAGAAACTGAGAGGAGTTGAAGAATTCTACCTTCTTCCTTGCGACCAGGACAAATATAAAGCAAGACCACAGGTCAATACGCCAACTAGTATCAAGAGAAACGGCGCATTTTTCCTGTCACCTTTTTCCACGCCGCTCGCCAAAGTCGTATTCGCGTCGCTGTTGGGCGGTGATAACGGTGGTACCTGTAAGAAATGATCAGAAGAACAATTTTGTCTTTTATTACACCTGGTCTGCAAAATTATGAGTCTGATGGAGTGGCATGGGAATTTTCTTAATAATGGTTTCTAATAGATTTTGATATGTTGAATTCAAAAAGGCCGCAAAAAGTGTTTATTCCCAGATTTTAAGAAAATTGGGGTTAGATTTCCACAAACAGAAGTCATTTTAACGATTGTTCAACTACAATAACTTTGGAAATATATTTATTTGGCAGCCCTGTTAGTGCTCAAAATAAATCTTTCGATTATTTTTACTGTAAAAAATACAACAAAAGGCCACGTATTTTTTCGAATATTTTTACTGAAAAAAATACAACAAAAGCCCACGTATTTTATACAACATTTTTAATTACAATAATACTAACGACACAGAATTTTGCATTTTTATTTCAGCACTTTTGCTCCCTGACTTCCAAAGAATGTTACGCGGGCTTCAGTTGTAGCTTATCCAGTAAAAATATAAACTAAGAACTTTATTTTGAGCCCCAATGAAGTTCCTAACTATATGTATTTCCAAAGTTATAGCAACTAGAAAATTACTAAAATGACCTATATTTTCTAACCTAAATTTTCTCAAAATCTAAAGATGATAAATATATTTGCAGCCGGATTTGAATTCAGCAAACCAAAAAATCTATTAGGAATCTTAGAAAATTCTCTTACCACTCATCGAAGCCTAAATCGGGCCCTAATTTTGCAGGTCAGTGTGTTATCTATCGCGACATTTCGCTATTTGATTAATGCTGTAACTTACGACAGCCGTACGAGCCATGAACGCGCTCTCGACGCTTTGGTAGGTCTTCTGGTCAGCAGGCATCACCTGATACCTGGGCGATCCAGACACCATCGGCACGGACTCCAAGCCGCTCTCCATGTAAGCGTAGCGGGGAGGCGGCTCGCTGTGGCTCATGTTTATCAGATCGACTGGAGCAGTTCCCACGTAACGAAGCCGGCCGCAATTGCTGGCCGGACAGACGTCCTGCTGTCGCGGCGGGTTCTCCAACAGCGGAAGGCATCGGCGAGCTGATGGTTCCTTGTTGGGTGTCGACGTCTGAGGCCCCGCGGACGAGAAGATTCGGCTCTGTGGCGTGCCTTGAGGAGTTAAACGCGTGGGGCTGAAGGTGCGATCTGAGGAGAGAAATGTTAGACGTTAGCAATTGGAAGATTATCGAGATGTGATAAATAGTGTAACGTTGACAAGATTAAGTAATAATAATAACATTAATAATAATAATGTTAAGTAATAATAATAATATAATTAATAATAATGTTAAGTAATAATAATAACATAATTAACAATGTTAAGTAATAATAATAACATAATTAATAATTATTAATATTAACAAGGGATCTAAAATATATATCAAATTGGCAGCCTCCACGCGGTGCATACTGGAAGAGAGGAAGTTGGCTCGAACGTCGGCTGGCCAGACTAAACAGCCTTTCTACAATTCCAGTCAACCCCAGCAGAAGGATTTCCGCTAATTGTTCCCATCAGGATAGAGGAAAAGGGCGAAGCTTGGAGGACCAGCTGGATCAGTATGGATCATGTAACGGCTAAAGCAAGCACATAAAGACTAAAGAGGCAAGACAACTTTTCACGTAACTATGAGAATAGCAATCTAACGTAAAAAGGATACATATAAAAGTATTAGAAAACTACTGTGGTATAAGCTCCATCGCAAAATATTCTTCAAATTTCTTCGAGTGGAATCTCATTCAAAAAATGGAGTAACATCTGGGTTTCTACTTAAATTCAAGTAATTTTTCATTTGTGCAGAATTTTCCACTCTCTATCGTCGAGTAAATATTTTCATTCAAACTTGAGGAGTAAATCTGATCCATAGTCTTACATGAACAAATTCACTCTAATCTACTGAAACGCATTCTTGTGTGTAAGTTATTATGTATATACTTATACAGATTAATGCTGTAATTCTAAGAAAATATACGAATAAGTCGTAAAATCGTAAAGTCGTAGGTTACGAGAAAAACAAAAAAAAATCATAGATATTTACGAGTTATCATATGACATACAGTTTGCATAGAATTGCAGATCTACTCATAAGTTCTTACGAATTTTACGAAAACAAATTACAAGTTACGATTTTGTCTAGAATTGCAGGTCTCTAAGTTCGAAATTCATATGATTCTGGCGCTATCGTTTTGAGTGAATTTTTATTCGTTCTGAATGATTTTGCTCGGAGAAATTTAAAAAGTATGACTCACACGTCCACTTCGTAGATGACCACAAAGTAAGTTTACCGGTCATTCAAACAAATAATAATGGCATCAGTATTATATTATTATATTACATCTGTATAAAACAATAATTAGGCACTCGTATTAATTGTCTGATATAATTTTTAATGTTTGATTTGAGCGGCATTATTTATCACCGTTCGGAAAGGGAGTGCGATTACGGGAGAAGGGATACGGTAATAAGGAGTTCTCAAACATTCAGTGAACTACCGGGAGTAAGCGCCCTTCTCCGCGGCGTGCTGGTCCGGTTGAAGGACTGATGCCTCCTCGGCGAAAGCGTTCTTTCCTCGGACCTGGATCTTGGTTTCCTGGGCGTAGTTAGTATCTCGTGCAACTTCTGCGTAGCCAAGTTGTTCTTCGGTGAGGCTGAGAGCTCTTGTGCGTTTCTCTCGGGTAATGTCGGCGGATTCTCCTCTTGCAGAGGAACTCTGCTGTAACGGCCTGTTACAAAATATGCAGTCGTATTTAGAGATCTGACATAATGGCATAATAACCGACATGACGACATATAAAATTATATTATTTTAGAGTTTCATTTCGTACCATTCCCAATATCATTTTAAAGTTTCAAAATTTTTTTAGAATTATATTATGCACTTTAGAAAATATAATAAATATAACTTCGTGTGTTAATTAACTGAATAAGTAGAATAAGGCAAATAAGAACCGAAAAAAAGAGTCTTTTGGCTTTATTCTGCTTATTTTTTTTTAGATTCGATTTTTTAGATTTTGATTGAATATCTCTAAGAGCTTTAACATTAATTTATATTTTATATATCAAGTCCGTTATGCCGGTCTATATACTTCGCGCGGGAAAGAAATTGAACAAAGTTTTTTATCGAACAACTGACAAAGTCAGTTTAGAAGAAAAATTCGTACAAATACTACACAGAGAAAATATAGCAAAAATTACAATAAAATTTTTATAACCTTGGACTAAGGATTATAATCGAAATTATATTTATATATATTCTTGTTTAGAAACGTTAAGCACATTTGATTTTTGTCACAAAATTATTGTATAATTACTTAGACGCTTTTATGTCGCATACCAAGTAGGATCATCAAATTTACTATTTTCATAGTAATTTATACTGCAACTTCAATACAGTCCAGTTTTACCAAAAACATTGTAAAATAATAATTTTAACATAATTCTTACTACAGTATTTCCTCCGTATAAAATAAAGATTCGGTTAAAAGAAGAAAAGAAAAATTACCCTGCGGAGTGTTGATATGCCGCGGGGCCGACTTGGCGCCGCTCCACTGCGCGTCTTCGTCCTGATAGTCCTGTTCACCCGGTATAAGAGCGTATCTACCGGCATTAGCGGCGCGACAGGTCTGCGTCTGCGACCCTCCTCGATCGTCTTGGTTGGTCGACGGCGCGGAACGTTGTTGCACCTGCTGTTGCTGGCGCGGAATGAACTCGTACCTCGAGGAGCCCCTCCGCGTTAACTGGCTGCGCTCGTCGTCTTGCTGGATGTACTCGTACCGCGAGGACTGATTGTAGGTCACGCGAGGCTCCTCCACCGGAAGACTGGCGTACCTCCTGTGCGTAAGAGGCCTGTTATCGTCCAGGTAACAATAGCGGTCGCGCGACTCACGCGCGTCCACCGCCGCCGTCTCCGACGGCTCCTGGAAGGCCGGATTGCTCTGGCCTGCATAATACTGCAGCTGCAACGGCGGCGGTGGTGGCGGCAAATCGTCGTTTCCTTGAAACTGCGGCGGCGGTGGTAGGCCGTTGCTCGCGTGATCGTCCGGGATGTACTCCGACTGACGGCAAAACGACGGGTTGGTGTAGCAATGCACCGGCGCTGGTTCTGGTACCTGGGCCATGATCGTCACTCGGGAGTATCACTCATCGAACGACACCTGCCCTCACGTTGAATAAACGGGAAGAACGGCGTGCTCGTTGCGCCAGCTTCGCGACGAGCATCGGTGAAGCTGGAGGCGCCTCGTCTAAGAGAGGATCCGATCGAGCTAGTGAATGTGGTGAGTATGAAGCTCACGTCGGGTTGTCGCGCAGACAAACTAGGAGAGTTAAACGGTCGAAACTGAAGTCGTTATTAAGCAAATGAGCGCGCATTGAAGTTTAATGAATTTCTTACGCGCAATGAATTACGTCGTCTTCGACGAGGTCCTTGCGTTTTCCTCTTCGAGTTCAAGTGATCGGCAGACGTGTGATCGGCGCTGTCGAAAATCTGCAAAAACTTCTTCGATATATCGGCTGGCGCAAATTTTCTCGAAAGTGCAAACGTCGGATCTTTAAATGGTTACACGATCATGGAAGAAGTCTCATGGATCATCGATGATCCACATAGGCTCATAGACGATCACTTTGTTCACGCGCACAGAAGCCGCCAAGTTCTTCGGATACTAACGCGTTAACAGAACGGTGTTCAAAGCATCAGAAGCTAAGACCAATCGTTGAGAATCATCACACTGTCAAAGTAGGAACGCAACAATCGAGTCCTAGAAGCCAAGCTCGCAGATCGTGCCGAGACGATTCCACGCGTCGTCAGCTTGCGAATCTTCTTACTCATCCTTCACGCGCGAATTTCGCGCGACTTCCAATCGATGTCCTCGAGAAACGCGATCGATGAGCCGTCGAGAATCTCAGCTGAAGCGCAACGTCTCCGCCGATAATCCACCGATATCTTCTTATCGACAGTTTTAACAGCAAGACAAAAACTTGGTTACATTACATAAAATAATGTGTGAATTGTCTCGTAACAACAAAATACGGGCGATAGCGTTAAGACGTCGATCTAAGATACGCACTTTCGCTAGCACGCGACGCACGCACGACCGTTGCTCTCGATAAACTGCCTCGCGGGTTCCCTTAACAGCAGATGCGTCAAGGGTGTTTCCTCACGTATCTGTGTATGCGCGCTTGCTCGGGGGGGAGACGAAGAGAGGGTCGTTTCACGTAATACGGGCCCGGTGTCCCTTCATGGGGTGGGGGCCCTTTCTTGGCTATAGTACGTTGCGCCCAGGATTTTCATCGTTGCTGTTCTGCTGCCCGTAATTTCGAACGCGATCGGGTGATTTAAATTTCACGCTACCTGCTATCAAGCGAACGCGGCTGTCGTCTTGGGGAAAATTTGGAAACTTTGAGGGAAAATTCATACACAACGCGTTAAGATCTCCAGTCAAAACTCGCGTGTACGCAACGTTCCCGAACGTACTTTCCTCTTCTGTACTTCGCTCTACGCGAGTGAGATATTCTATTTAAACAGCAATGAGACTATCCTCGGTTAAGTTTTCAATGAAAATCAAGTCATTCGAGTTCAATATTGCGATTGTCGCATTGCATTTCTTGTAGGTTCGGAATTGAACTTAGTCCCGTACTTCTACTTACAAGTGTCATGTATAATTATATGAGTAAATCAAGAATTAGACGAATGAAACGCAGGTAACGACCAAAGTACGGTGTTCACGGTACTTGGCATGGTGTTTGGTTGTCCGATACGCGAGGGGAACGAGAGAACTCAGGGTGAATGTACTGTAGTCAATTTTCTGGGCAGCTGCCGCGACCGTTGGGACGCGTGCCCCGATAGCAACAGCTGCTCCAACACGAATGCAATTCGGCCGAAAACACACCGTTTATTTCGCTCTCTCTCTCTCCCTCCCTTCCTGTCTCTTTCTCTGTCCGTCTGCCCCCTCGCGCCAGAACACGGTCCTCACGTGCTCTCGCATTCGGCACGTTAACGGCCGAAAAGTCACTTCAACGATGAAAGGAGTTGAAACGGCGCGCGGCTCGCACTCGCGAGCGGCCTAAGCGCGCCATTTTTTCGGGGCCTTAACCGATGAGCGCGTGAAAGTGCGAGGAAAAAGCGACGCGGAACAGAGAGAAACCGGATTCGTGGTCCCCCGCGATCGACATATTTTTACGCTCTAACTGTTAATCAAGTTGCGGAACGCGCGACTTCTGATTCGCGGCTTTCCGCTCCTCGAACAAATGACGCCTTTCTTCGGGAAGATCTCTCGTGACGTCTCATCATTTATTTTCACTTCGTTTTCCGACAGATCTTTCCCGAGTCGAAATTTTGATCCTACTTTCAATCTTACTATTCAACGCCTATTTTAATATAAAACCTACATTACTTTTTTGATTATATTTAACCTACTTAAGGGAATGTAGGGAAAATGAATTAATGAGAGAGAGAGGGAGAAAGGGAGAGAGAGAAAAAATATAAAAATTAATCTCTTGTATTGGCATTTAATGTAAAAGTACCAATACCTAGCCACGCACTTAACTGTGCATATTTTTATTGTATTAGTTTAAATATGAATATTTGTAATTTATTTGTATATGTAAAAATATATATAGAAACAATGTTGAATATAAAACATATAATCTCTTCCTAAGCAGATTCTCTCCATATATATCCTCAAGAGAATTCTTCTTAAAACAAAGAGGAAAATATTCTAAACACAATATTATTCCTCTTTTAATAAAGATATTATTCCTCTTTATTAAAAGAGGAATGTTCTTTCGACAGAAGCTTTAGAATACAGTAAATAACACCTTGCAATTAGAGTTATTTTTTGGATGTCAGAATATTTTTCTTTTAATTTTATAAGAATCCTCTCAAGATTATATATAAGAAGCTTTCTCTGCTAAGAATAGGATAATATTTTTTTGGATGTACATACATCGAACATTGGATATATACATATACTCCGTGTTGAGATTTTAAATATTTATATTTATATTTAAAGACCAGCTTATTAAAAGTGTCCAGAGTTAAGTACATGTCCACACATTTGCTTTAATTTAAGTACCAGCTGCTTCTACTTTAATTAACGCTCGCGCGGGACATGCGCGTCTTTTTAAATTGACGCTCAGAGAGAGAGAGAGAGAGATAGAGAACGGAAGCATAGATTACATTAAGCGCCTGAGATACGCTGGACGATTTTGGCTCATAAACAACTGGGAGATACGTTTCCGACGCAAAAGGGTTTACGACATTCGTGCCCCGCGTCTCTGCGTGACTGCGTCTTCGCAAACAGGCGAGTCGTTTACGCGAAACTAATCGTTACATCTTCGCGCGTCATGCGATCGCGATGCTTCGACACGGCATCGGCGCAAAACGCGAGATACCGAGTAATGTAACGTTTACTTACACTGGTATATACACGCGAAAACAAGCGTCATCTACACGCAACGTGGTGTCGTTACGCGTTACGCGCACTCACACACCGATTTGTCTAACGTGCAATCGCGCCAGCCGCGCATTATCTCATTGCGCGAAGTCACGCGTAAAGACGATTCGATTTCTCCAGGATGCGTCTCGGTGTCTCAAAGTGTTCACTTTGCCAGACATTCTCGAGAGGATTATCAGTCCAAATCAATGATTTTACACTGAGAAAAATTATCCGATAAAAAATTAACAAACGAATATTTGTGATCAATTTCCGATAAATTTTTATATCCGATCAGGATATCTCGTTCAATTTTATCGGATATTTTCGGATCATATTGGCATTTTACCGATCAAAAAATTATGAACCGATATTTCTCATCGGATATTTCCTGATCGGATACAAAAATTTATCGGTATTTTGATTGGAAGTATCCGTTTGTTAATTTTTTATCCGGTAATTTCTCTCAGTGTAACGTATTTTCGGATAAATGACAACACAAAGATAAAAAAAATACGCTGAAATCAGAGAGACGCAAAATTTAATTAAAATTTATTTGTAACAACTAAAGTTGCAACTTTATTTCTGCGTCCACCGTCTGATTGTTGAAGGTTCCGCTCCACTATACGACGTCTCGATTCGGAACACGCGACGATCTTCTGCTCGAGTGAGTTCTCGATCCGATCGATTTTACCGGAAATGCACAGAGTGCCCAGAGCGACACTCGATACTCCAGAGAGATGATTTACGCATGAGCGATTTATTAACGGCGGTACGATTGTGCTCAGCACCGTCGTGAAAGTTCTCTCTTCCTTCCCGTTCGTGCGCTCGAGAGATGCACGCGTTTAGCTATTTCCTCTCCGGGCTGCGAGCTATACTTTCTCGATCGTCCTTCTAATTACAGAACGGTGCTAATAACGATACTCTTCTTGACGTTTCGCATCGGACGATCATACCGACTGTTCTTTCATGTTTGTGACGCGATCGCTGTCTTTCAAAAACCGAGCAAAAAAGGACGCGACAATTGCTTACAGTTCAGTATTGCTAGTTTTGATACAATTGTGCCAAATTCATTACAATTAATGATTTGTTACAGCTTCTTTTATAGATAACGCATCGTGTTCTTCGAATAAGAGACTATATATATATGATTATATTTGTGAATAGCAGCACAATCTGGTACATTGTGGCTCGACATTCAACACAAGCAAATTTTTCTCTTGGCAATACTGTCACGATTCTATTCATGCAAACATTAATAATAGCTGTGTCAAATGAAATTTTGGATTCTATATTAATCCTGTAAGTTCCATCATACTTAAAGGACTCTATCATACTGATAGAGAATTTCGACATTATACAGGCTGCATTAACCCTTGATGCTTTTTTATTGTGTTTTGCTCCGTCAATCTCGCGTGACGTTCTGTCCATGTCGTAGCTGAAGGAAATTATAACGTTTGAGCAAATATAAACCTACAAAGATAAACCTATAAAGATAAACCCGTAACATGTACATGATAGGAAAGTTGATCAAACTAACAACGCGTGACGGAAATTTTAATAACCTGTACTGTTTCCGAAGTACATAATTATAAAGTTGTATTGTGCAAACATATGTAGAATCTTTACAATACAATAAATTTCTTCTATAATTTAATATATTTTTATATAAGATACATTCAGAGAAAAACACATGAAAATAGCAACTATGTAGGTGATAACTATGAGTTTCGTATATACACTAAGAGAAAAAATACTTAAGAAATAAAAACTACTTACTCGATGTGTATTAATAACATTTATTTGTACAAATATGAAATATTTTCATATAAAAAAAATATTTTCTTATCTTAGCTTTACTTTAGCTTTTCATGAAAGCAAGTGTTTATTCTCTTTAAATAATAGAATTTATATTTAAATAAATATATTATTCGTACAGCAATGAATAAATATTTTTTTTATTTAGATAAATCTTTTTTATTTAGTTTTTTTAAGGAATTTTTTCTCTTAATGTAGAATTGTAATGTATATGATTACATAAAAATAGTTTAATAAAGTATTTTGTAGTTATTGTAACTAAGGCTTTAGTTGTTATAAATAAATTATAATTAAATTTTTTTTTAATTAATTTTTTATTTTCATGTATCGAGAATTATTTTGCTCTTATTTCCGCCCTACGTTAATGACAAGAAAAATTCGTCACTCGCGTAATTTATAATTAAAACAGATCGACGCGTTATATTCACGAATTTTGTTGCAAGAATTAATACTTTTATCGATAACGCTATATTGACTATATATTCATCAAAATTTCTCTGCTATTCTTGAAAGCGGTGGACATTTGTGAGGCATCTCTTCATTTACCACGTATTGCCATCAAGTACGATGATCGATCTCATTTCACGTCGTAATAGACGACCCCAATATACAAACCAACTTTTAATAAAGAAAAATCTTTCGTTCATATTCTTCGTTAGATACTAAATTCTTTCATATTCTTCATTAGATACTAATACGTCATGCGAGAGTAACGCCGAGCGAAATCGCTCCATACAGTTGATCAAGATATCGTAGGAAAGCAAACCGGGTTTAAAAGTCACACAGGTCAGTTATCACAAAGTTCGTATCTCATGTAATAAAGATATGTGTAGAGGGGGGGAGGAGCATATTTTTCACTATAGTACAGGTT